CAAGTCTATTAAAAAGTTCTTGAAATAGTTTCCGATTTGGTTGCCTTCTATTCGGATACAACTCTGAATACCGACGAAGCGCTCGACGTCCAACATAATCTGATTGCGCATAAACGCAAACCATATCGCGCATTTCTCCATTTGAAAATAAATTATGGCGTGGCATGTTATCTCGCACTACGATTTAGATCATAAAGTAAAGAATACTTTTAATAAGGCACGAATAATACTGTAATATTACTGACAGCACTAAGATAAGTGGAAAATGTCAAAATTGGATTTTAACATAAGCCTACTTGAAAATTTTTGCCGATTTGTAATTGAATGCAAATACATTGGAATTTTCAATGGCAAATTTTACGAGAACGGTGCAAGATAGCGACTATCAAAAAGTATAGCTTTTTTGTGTAAAAGAAGTTGTAAAATCAGAATTTGCTACCTGAGAATTAGATTTTTGAAAGATAAAAAAGTTCTGTCGTTTTCAACGCATTCGACCTAGCGCAGGTGGCGCTCTCTATGAGCTACAAGCAAACCATGGATATATTTCAATCTCTCGCCCCAGAAAACCCCTAACACCAAAATTTCATCTCGATATGAGCATTTATTATGAAATAAATAAGAAAAAACTAAAATAATATTTTGCATTAAACACCCTGTATCTCTGTAAGTATCAACTTTTGGACTAAGGCGAGTTTGTCTAAATCGCAATATTTTCACGTCAGGAATCTAGTCATGAATTTTGGCCCATTACATCGCGACCACCCTGTATATTTAAATGAACATTTGAATATAGAAAATTTTTTTTCTAGTTTTCCTAGCACTTTTCTGAATTTTTGCTATTTTTGACCTGTTTTTTGAAGTTAGAAAATTCCTGTGATGTGATAGCTCAATTCTGACACCGAATCCGTGATCAGAAGGCAAAAATACTACAGATAACATATGTCGCATGAAAAGTACAGACTACTTTTTTTTGTGTGTGGCTGTGTAATTAATAATAAATAATAAAATTAAAAAAATACATCCGGGGCGTTTTGAAACATAGTAATAATTAAAATGGATCAAAGTGCTGTTAAAAATAATAGATGTTATGTTTTATTATCTTTTTTCCATATTTTCTATATATTGTTGCCTTCTAAACTGATACGCCTATGGATTTTCGATCCCCGCACGGTTCATCCTCTTTACAAGTCCAAGAGCTAGCGATGAGTTCTCACTCTCTATAATTTCGACTGCGAAGTATACACAAAAATGTTGATTTTATACATTTTGTCTTTGTGGTTCAATTTTATGTTTATGTTAATTATAGAGTCAGTATAACACTAATTTTTATAGTGTATAAATAAGAATAAAGTATTTTGTTAGGGCTCAATTTTTGTGTAAAAAGTTATAGGTCTTATGCCGTTTAATTGTTATTAAAACTTTGTTTTTTAATTGGTAGACTTTTATTTAAAATATATTAATTCTACTATAATAATAAGTTTATAATAAAGGCAAATTTTATTATGTTGGCTTCCTAGTTAATTATTTTTAACTTCTACTTTATTTTAACTGACTGGAAAAGTGTAAATGTCAGTTTATTTTAAAGAGAGAAGCAGAAAGTCTCGGAAACATATTATTCATTGCTGCAGTGCAACACAGTTACATGTATTATCAGTTGCATTATATTATTATAATTACTTTCCTCTTAAAATCAGATAAGATGGTAAACAGATATAATAATTTGTGTGTGTGCAAGATATAATAATTAGTAATGGGAAAATTCCAATCGAAAATAAACCGATATTCTAATTAACCAAATTTTAATTTAATTTTAGGTTATTGAAACCGCCAATAGTCTGTATTTATCAACTCAAAATATACTATCCGTAGACGATGAAGAAATAGGGGGGAGAAATAGAAACTGTCACAATATCTAACTGTTCGGAATTTGAATTATCAAATAAAAATAATCAAATGAAATATAATTTTAAGTATTATTGGCACCATTAAAATAATATATCACCATCTACAAGAGTGTTATATCTTAATTGTCACTGCTACTAACCTACCAATAGCTACTAGCAGAGAGCAACCTACTAATCTGTATATACTATGAAAGCTATACCAATGTTGCATTATGCGAAACAAAGTGTTGAACTTATGATAAATACAGACTAAAGTCCTATTTAGCATTGAATTATATATACGATATCTAATAAAAAGTTAAGATCATTTGTCAGTAAAATCACCAGACATAGACTAGTTTCAAACTTATTATTAGTTCTCACCGGTATGGTGAGACGATCTGGTAGGAGTTAAGTAGTTGTAATTATTTAGATGCAGGTTATATCTCACCCACACTTAAACCATGTATGCGAGATAGACATCCATACAACTGTACAGGCAATGGAACGGGTGTATATTGTTATATTCATAAGTTCAAATTATATAGTCAGTGATACATAGGTACTTACATAAAAAAAGTTGAGACGGTCAAAGAGGTGGTGAACCCAATTGAATAACACCCTGTACTTTATTTCTTAGAACATATACTACTTGGACAAAAAAATTGCGGACTTAATACCTCGATTAATATAGTACGAACCTCGGGAACTAAAATATGTGTTCAATCACAAAAAAATAATTCTTTACTGTTATAGGCAATATAAAATACAAATCATATCTACAATATTCAAAACTATGACTCATTTTTAAAATATATTTATAAATGTTTTTAAAATAACAAAGGGACAGATATACTGAGGAACAATAAAGTGTTTGCAAGTGGCGCCCTCTAATATGTCGTAGCAAAATTATGATCAAATATGAATTTGTCGGCTCAACATCCGACACCCAAAACTTGAGCAATATTTAATTTTGAAAAGGTTATTTAAAATATTAATGAAAACAAAATTTTCTCTTTGACGCCTTGTATCTTTTTAAGTATCAACGTTTGGACTGTAAGGTAAGTTTGGTTAAGGGGTCAAGCCACTCTAAAATTTTGGAAAAAACTGATCGAGCCTCAGATCAAGCCAAAAAGAAGAGGATATATCAGGAGTAGTGTGTTTGAGCTCTATACAAATTTACAGTTTTATGGTGTATCATAAGCTCAATAATTTCTAATTTTTGGCTAATACAGAGAGTAATTTTTCTTGTTCTTGAGGATTTACATATCATCCTGCGTTAACTATAGATTTCGAGCATATATTTATCAACGAGAGTGCATGTCAAACTAATATTAATCAAAAACTCTATAACTTTAAAAAAGCTAATTACTAAAGCTGAAGTATTTGTATAATACTTTATTTCATACTAACTGCTCATTTTTAAAAATTATGATGATGTTAATGCAACCTTAAACATTTTTTATGAACGTTTGTATGAAATATTTGATATCCACGTGCCTTTATACAGGGTGTCTCATAATTAGCTGCCAACCCTGAACAGGCCGATTCTATGATCAAAACTAAGTAAAAAAGTTCATATGAACATGGGTCCGGAAATGCTTCCTAAGGGCACAGGGACCCATTGAAGAGGGAGGAATGGAAATCATTTTTTTGCAATATCTCTCAATCGCGTTGTGATAAATGAATGAAATTTGGTATACACAGCTAAATTTTGATGAGCAATTTGATGGACTAATCCATTTATTTCCACAAGGTCCATTGGGGTGGGTACGGGGGGGCCCTTGGTACTTTGCGTGTGTAACTTTTTCATCTTTGACTTTTTAACAAATTGGACAGCAAATTCCGTTTTCCCGAACTGTTTTACGTTAAAAAGGTACTCTTGTTTCAAATCGTTATCTTTAACGGTTTCTGAGAAAATCGCTCTTGAATTAATCCCACTTTGGTCAATTTCATAGTAATTTAAACAAAAAAAATTTTTTTGTTTAAATTTAATCTAATTTTAATAAAAAAATAATAATAAAAAATTAAATTAAATAAAAATTAATCCTTTAAATGGAAAAGAGAGGAAAGGAAAATTATTATTATTATTTTTTGTTTAAATTACTATGAAATTGACCAAAGTGGGATTAATTCAAGAGCGATTTTCTCAGAAACCGTTAAAGATAACGATTTGAAACAAGAGTACCTTTTTAACGTAAAACAGTTCGGGAAAACGGAATTTGCTGTCCAATTTGTTAAAAAGTCAAAGATGAAAAAGTTACACACGCAAAGTACCAAGGGCCCCCCCGTACCCACCCCAATGGACCTTGTGGAAATAAATGGATTAGTCCATCAAATTGCTCATCAAAATTTAGCTGTGTATACCAAATTTCATTCATTTATCACAACGCGATTGAGAGATATTGCAAAAAAATGATTTCCATTCCTCCCTCTTCAATGGGTCCCTGTGCCCTTAGGAAGCATTTCCGGACCCATGTTCATATGAACTTTTTTACTTAGTTTTGATCATAGAATCGGCCTGTTCAGGGTTGGCAGCTAATTATGAGACACCCTGTATATAAATTATAGCCATATATCCACCTTATATTAATATACTCCTGAAATTATAAAAAATTTCAAAACCAAGGCTAAACTTTTTAAAAAGCATGAAGAACGTTAGAGCTCACACATTTTAAATAAATTTATTCATTTGAGAAGGTTGATTAAAGATCAGATTAAGGAAGCTTATAAGAAGTATCTAAACAATGTCCAAAATTCAATTTTATACAATCCACAAAAGTTTTGGTCTTTTATTCATTCAAAATATAGATGTACTAGAATACCCAGCAAAATGAGGAATGGAAAATTTTTGTTTAGATAATTATTAACATATCGTCAATGCTTTTGCAAAATATTTTGAGTGTTTTTTACGTCTACTTTTGAACTCAATATCTCTAATAATAATTCATGTATTAACAAAAAAGATGGGCCAGATAAATTACCCTCATTCATTATAAAAGATTGTATATCTGTGTTCGTTGTTCCTTTAAAAATATTATTTAAACTTATGCTTGAAGACAAATATATTTCCACTTAGCTGGAAACAAGCAAAGGTGTGCCCAATTTTTAAGAATGGCAACAAAGTGAATATTGATAATTATCGTCCTATATCCTTTCCAACTTTTCTAAAATTTTTGAATTATACTTTATAGTCGTATACATATACAATGTTATTAGGGCTCAGTTAGTGGTGGAACAGCACAGCTTTCTGATAAACAGGTCGACTACTGTTACAAATTTGATAGTATTTATTTAAGTTGTATCTGAAACTTTAGATAAAGGCGGTCAAGTGGACACTATTTACACAGATTTTGCAAAGGCATTTGACACTTGATCACCAAATCCTTTTGAAAACGCATTATCTCTATTTAAACCATACTTAAATGATAGAGTCCAATTTGTTTCATATAATGGGTTTGCATCACCCAATTACTATGCAACTTCGGTAGTCTCTCAGGGCTCAAACCTAGGGCCTTTATTATTTCTAATTTTTATTAAAGACATTTGTCAAGTAGTTGACTGTAATAAGCTATTATTTGCTGATGATATGAAAATATTTGCATCAATTTATTCCATAGGTGATACCAAATGTAAAATTGTTTCTTAGACCAAGAAGAGATTACCAATTATTTTTTAATATGTTATTACTGACATTGCACTTTCTCGCTATGATACCGTTAAGGACCTTGGTGTACTTATTGATTATAGTTTATATTTTCAGGAACTCACTAAAATAAATGAGGCAGCAAAATCGTATGGTTTTATATTATTAAGAAACTATAGAAACTTTAGCAACATTAAAACTTCTAAAACATATTATTCGTTTGTTGGGTCTAAGTTAGAATATGGTGGCATCATTTGGAATCAATATTATCAGTGTTACAAAATCAGTATTAAAACAATTCAGTGTTTACATTTTTGTACTTTAAGGAAGTTGGAAATTATCCAGAATTAAAATACACAATACAATACAAGTAGAATAGCTGTGCCGATTCTGCTCCACAATTCAAGATGGCGACTGGAGCAGGATCGGCATAGCTTTCAGCCGGCTACGTCACATCGGCTNTATCTGAAACTTTAGATAAAGGCGGTCAAGTGGACACTATTTACACAGATTTTGCAAAGGCATTTGACACTTGATCACCAAATCCTTTTGAAAACGCATTATCTCTATTTAAACCATACTTAAATGATAGAGTCCAATTTGTTTCATATAATGGGTTTGTATCACCCAACTACTTTGCAACTTCAGGAGTCACTCAGGGCTCAAACCTAGGGCCTTTATATTATTTCTAATTTTTATTATCGACATTTGCCAAGTAGTTGACTGTAATAAGCTATTATTTGCTGTTGATATGAAAATCTTTACATCGATTTATTCCATAAGTGATTCCAAATGTAAAATTGTTTGTTACAATAAGAAGAGATTGTCTATTATTTTTGAATATGTTTTCACTGACATTACACTTTCTCGCTATGAAAACGTTAAGGACCTTGGTGTACTTATTGATCATAGTTTATCTTTTCAGGAACTCACTAAAATAAATGAGGCAGCAAAATCGTATCGTTTTATATTAAGAAACTGTAGAAACTTTAGCAACATTAAAACTTCAAAAACATATTCGTTTCTTAGGCCTAACTTAGAATATGGTTGCATCATTTGGAATCAATATTATCAGTGTTACAAAATCAGTATTAAAACAATTCAGGGTTTACATTTTTGTACTTTAAAGAAGTTGGAAATTAACCAGAATTAGATACACAATACAATACATTACTGACAAGGTTTGATATTACCAGTTTGGACCTCAGAAAATGTTCTTCACTGTCTTTTTTATACAAAATGTTACATAACAATATTGTTTGCTCTCAAATTCAGTTTAATATCTTAGAGGACACTCAAGACATACGAAAACCTTTTTTATTTATCAAAATTTTATTTAACTTTTTTCTTAACATTCCTAGATGTAATCTTACTTTAAAATCACCTTTATATGTAATGTGCTCTATCTTTAATAAATTATGCCACGTGATATAAATTTTGATAATTTTAAGCGTATATTGGATGATATAATTACTAAATCAGGAACGTATATTTCGATGATACATATTTAGCTTAAGTATTTATAATTTTTAGTAGTAAAATTCAATTGCTCTGTAAATGGGGTAACTGTTGAGCAATAAAGCTATTATTATTATTGTTATCAATAGGGAAGACCAATTATATGGTGCAGGCATTGTTGACTGAAGGTATACACATAACCAATGCTGAATGGCAATAACAACTTTAAAAGCGTTTTTCGAGAACCAACTTTTTTTAACTGTTCGGAACATAACTCAAAATGTTTTCAACGAATCGACTTGACATTTTTTAGAGACTCACAATAACGTAAGGAACATCGTAGGCGTTTTTTGATTCATTGAGAATTGATTTGATTTTCATTGTGATTGAGAATTGAATGCAAAATTTTATGTCTTTTTTCGATGCTTTTCTTGTTATTGTTCACTAAACCAATTCACTGGTACCATTTTTACTACTTCATTTACACCCTGTATAATAGAAAATGTTTTTTTTGGTCCAAGACCAACATTAAGAAACTTTTCTGGCCACAGAGCTCTCTGAAAAAAAGTGTCGTTGCTTGTCACACCTATAGCCGCCATTTTGAATCCAAATCGTTAGAAAAAATTCACAATACCTGAAAACATGTACAATAAAGGCTTTTTTTTTCATAACACTATATCACCTTTTTTCTCAACTTCTAGACCGGCGTTACCCCTTAAATCATAATATTTCGGCTATTTTTCTACCTATACCAAAATTTTATTCTTCATTTCAAAACTGTATTATGAGGTGAAAGGTTTTAATAAGGATTCGTTAAGTGAAAGGGATGTAAATAATCATACAACCAAATTTTAAGATATGTATAATTATTGCAGTTTTTAACAGTCACTACAAACAGAAAATAGTTATTCAACAGTACAAAAAATAGGTCTATTTGCCAGTTATACTCAATATTTTCTTTACAGTATCTTCTAAGTTACTTCAAAGGAAAATAAACAATTATGTCTCAGTTTTAGTGTAATTTCAAAGACAAATCCTGTAAAAATAAAAATAAAACTTATTCTGAAATTTCAACCGTTTCCTCAACACAGAACGGTGCTACTAAAAAAAAATGTTTGTTCGTATATCTCTGAGGATATTCGACTCCAATAACTGGTGCGCTTTTAGAACATTTTTATAGTCAGTTTTGTGAGAACACAAATCACATTTGTATATTTTTATATTTGGTTTTGTACGAACTCAAATCACATTTATATTAATAAAAATAAAACTTATTCCGAAATATCAACCGTTTCCTCAACACAGAACGGTGCAACTAAATAAAAATGTTTGTTCAAATATCTCTGAGGATATTCGACTCCAATAACTGGTGCGCTTTTAGAACATTTTTATAGTCAGTTTTGTGAGAACACAAATCACATTTGTATATTTTTATATTTGGTTTTGTACGAACTCAAATCACATTTATATTAATAAAAATAAAACTTATTCCGAAATATCAACCGTTTCCTCAACACAGAACGGTGCAACTAAATAAAAATGTTTGTTCAAATATCTTTGAGGATATTTGACTCCAATAACTGGTGCGCTTTTAGAACATTTTTATAGTCAGTTTTGTGAGAACACAAATCACATTTGTACATTTTTATATTTGGTTTTGTACCAACTCAAATCACACTTATAAACTTATATTAATAAAAATAAAACTTATTCCGAAATATCAACAGTTATTTCCTCAACACAGAACGGTGCAACTAAAAAAAAAATATTTGTTCGAATATCTCCGAGGATATTTGACTTCAATAACTGGTGTGCTTTTAGAACATTTTTATAGTCAGTTTTGTGAGAACATAAATCACATTTGTACATTTTTATATTTGGTTTTGTACCAACTCAAATCACACTTATAAACTTATATTAATAAAAATAAAACTTATTCCGAAATATCAACAGTTATTTCCTCAACACAGAACGGTGCAACTAAAAAAAAAATATTTGTTCGAATATCTCCGAGGATATTTGACTCCAATAACTGGTGTGCTTTTAGAACATTTTTATAGTCAGTTTTGTGAGAACATAAATCACATTTGTACATTTTTATATTTGGTTTTGTATGAACTCAAATCACACTTATAAACTTATATTAATAAAAATAAAACTTATTCCGAAATATCAACCGTTTCCTCAACACAGAACGGTGCAACTAAAAAAAAATTTTTGTTCGAATATCTTAGAGGATATGTGACTCCAATAACTGGTGTACTTTTAGAACATTTTTATAGTCAGTTTTGTGAGAACACAAATCACATTTGTACATTTTTATATTTGGTTTTGTACCAACTCAAATCACACTTATAAACATATATTAATAAAAATGGAACTTATTCCGAAATATCAACCGTTTCCTCAACACAGAACGGTGCAACTAAAAAAAAAATGTTTGAATATCTTTGAGGATATTTGACTCCAATAACTGATACGCTTTTAGAACATTTTTATAGTCAGTTTTGTGAGAACACAAATCACATTTGTACATTTTTATATTTGATTTTGTACTCAAATCACATTTATATTAAAAACTTATATTAATAAAAATAAAACTTATTCCGAAATATCAACCGTTTCCTCAACACAGAACGGTGCAGCTAAAAAAAAATTTTTGAATATCTGAGGATATTTGACTCCAATAAACGGTGCGCTTTTAGAACATTTTTATATTTAGCTTTGTAGGTACACGAATCAGACTTGTACATTTGTAATATTTGAACAGACTTTGTGCAAAAAAAGCTGGTGCGCTTTTAGAACATTTTTATATTCAGTTTTGTACGCACACAACTCACACTTGTACATTTGGATTCCCGAATTGTCTTCGTGCAATAACTTGTGTGCTTTTAGAACACTTTTACGTTTAACTTTGTAGGTACACGAATCACACTTGTACATTTTAATTTTCGAATGGTTTACGTTCAAAAACTGGCGTGCTTTTTGAAAACTTTCATTTTCCCTTGTGTAGGTATATGAATCACATTCGTATATTTTGTATTCTCGAGGCTCTGTGGGCAGTGGCCGATTTGTTGTTAAACTATGCTGGAACAGGTATTCATAATCACTCCTGTTCATGTAAATTTCTGAAGTGTGTGATGACTGATGCAATTTTAGACTACGCTTAAATTCAGTTTTGAAAGGACAAGCATCACACTTGTATATTTGGATTTCTGAAGTAAGTTTATGTGTTAATAGACACCTCTTTACATCTGCTTCACATTTAGCTTTACGACTGCACGTGTCGCAGTTGCACTTACGGATTTCTGAAGAGCCTTTGTGCCTTATCTGATGCGTTTTTAGATGTCCCTTAAATTTAGTTTTGTAGGTACACGTATCACATTTGTAAATTCGTGCTTTATAAGGGTGTGCGCTTATTAACTGGTGATAGGTGGAATTTTTAGGATGTATAAGTCCTAGAGCAGGTTCACTCTCGTCTGATGATACATCTTTTGTCTCATATTTATGCATATATTCATTCTTTGTTTCTCCTTCATCTTCCGAACTGTGGCTCTCTTCATTTTCAATCGTTAGTAAGTCGGACGACGAGGAATCACTAAAAAAATTTAAAATGTATCACATTATTATACAATTAACTGTAACACATAAATCATTTTTGACAAACATTTTGAGAAATAGATTGTCAGAGTTGATTTGTTACATTCAAAGTTTCTTATCAATATTTTTAAATATTAGTCTGGAACTATGAGCAAAAACTTAGGAAGTACAAGTGTATTGGCAATTAACCGATTAATTAAATTAGTGTTCATTAACCAAGTCAATAAGAATCTAAATTAACAATTAACAATTAATTTTTACATGTTTTACTGTTATGGTAAAATCAGAACGTTTCAAATTTTAATCGAAAAATTAAAGAATCCATAGAAGTAGAAATAATTGCTACATAAAAATATTTTATCCACAATCACCTTATAATCGGAGTTTTATCCACACATATGAACTGTCTAAAGTGATACTTTATCCGCTAGTGGAATAAAGTAACTTTATTTCATTGGTAGAATAATGAAAAAATAATAAACCTATAATAAATCAAATTTAATTTATTTACTTAATAACATTAACATTTACATTTATAGTAAGAGATCAGCACCTTTGTTGTATATTTAAGTATATTGTTGTATATAAAAGTATATTTCTGATTGATGTATCTTAAAAAAAATCTGTCTTGTGTTAGGCGAATTGGGCGCAGAGAAATATATTTTCTGCATATTTCAACAGCATTCACGCAAAATCCTTCTTCTATAATTGTAAATTTTCTTGAAATGCCCGTATTGGTGTCAAGTATTGAAACAAGTAGGTAACTGTGCCAACGTCCTGTACATTATTAATTTATAAATTTTTCAGTTCGCAGCATCGGCAGACACCAGAAACACCCATTAGTGCAACCTAAAATAATTCAAAGTTCACTATATACGTAACAACATGTAAAAGGTAAAGAAATATTACCTTAATCATTAAATATTCTTCATCGGAAGCCCCAGTCAAAAATTATTCAATGTGTGCTGTTTCCAATACTGCAGCTTTTTTGCTTCGTATTCTCTAGATTCACTCTTCAAATAAGCAGTATAGTCCAGTTACTCAAGGTTTTTACCTCTGAATTCTTTATAACTGAACCGATTGACGTGAAATTTTGACTGCATGTGGGGAATGCCTCAAAGAACAAAACTTATATAGTGCCGAAGTGTGCTTTTGCCCCGGGGATGGTTCCTACACCTTCTTGGGGGTGGAAATTTTTACGCTCAAAATGACCACAGGAATCGATAGAGAAGTCAATTTTAAGTAACAGATGTTATATAAAGTTTTTTGAATAATCCAATATTTTCCGAGAAATTCGTCATTGAAAATGTTGATTTTTTACCGAAAAAGTGCTTGTTTTCGGACAGTTTTTTGTAAATAACTCTGAAACCATTGGATTTAACGAAAAAGTTATAATGAACAAAAAGAAAGGTAATAAAAAAACACATCTAATGGCATTATTTTGTTTTTCTCTAATTGCAATATAAACCGAGTTGTGGATTTTTAAACATTATTATATGTTACCTAAAAACTAAATTCGAACCAGTTAACGTTAAATAACGCCAAAACCATAAATATTAGGAAAAAAACTATTAGAACCTTTTTTAAACTACTTTGAAAAACCTTTAAAATGAGTTGTTTTAAGTCTTTAGAATCAAAATTAACGGAAATATGATCGAAATAACATGATAGTCTCATTTTTTTAAAGAAAAAATTAATAAACAAATCAGTGCCTTTGGTGACATAATTAAAATTAAATGCAATCCATTTACAGATTTCTTCATTTATGTTCTAAGAATATGTTCTGGGTCTTTGACTTACTTACAAAGCATGATTTCAAAAAAAACTTAATTTTTGAAAATGTTCTAAAATTTTTGAAAAAAATTCGATTTTTACGCTGTAACTTAAGAATTAAAGGGTGTACGAAAAAATACAAGAGTAAAAAAATTTTGCTTTATTTTTGCTGAAGATTTTGCTTAATTTTTTATTCCTCTAAAATTAATATAAATCGAGATATGGCCATTTTGTTATCATATGAATGAGAGAACCACCCTCTTGGAGCCCTTTAAACCCTTCAAACTTAAAAATGAAGGGCTTATAAAAGATCAACTCAACAGTTCACGTAGCCCTTACTCCCTGCAAAAAACATATTTAGTATGTGTATATTCGAATAAACCAGTACTATATTATAATACACACTATACTACACACACACGCACACCCTCACACACACACACACACACATATACAGGCTGTTACAAATTCCCTTCTCGGTAAGAGATATGAACTAGCTTAAATGGGGGCAAAGTTGCGTAATCAGGGGACCAACATTATGTCTCTAAAAAATCGAGGCTAACATGATTAGTTTTCGAAATATTTGAAAAAAAATCGAAATTTTGGAAATTNGATATGTAATTTTTTTTACATTTGACCCTATAAAATTAAAAATAACACAATTATTGCTATAAACTTGCATGTATCTATAACTATATATCCTAGGATACTAACGTCTTCATTCGCAAAGATTTTTGAAAATAAAATAATAGAAAAATCATTATTTCTAAAAAGTACAGATTCTGCAACGTCCACAAGATACATTAAAAATGTGATTATTGAGATTCGCAAATTTTTTATAATGAGTACATACCCCCCGAGGTATGTACCGCAGTCAACGTGTTAAATAACGTCAAAACCATAAATATTAGGCAAAAAAACTATTTGAATATTTTTTTAAAGTACTATGAAAAACCTTTAAAATGAGCCGTTTTAAAAGTCTAGAATCAAAATTAACGGATGGATAACGGATGATAGTCTCATTTTTTTAAAGAAAAAATTAATAAACAAATCAGTACCTTTGGCAACATAATTAAAATTAAATGCAATTCATTTACAGATTCCTTTATTTATGTTCTAAGAATATGTTCTGGGTCTTTGGCTCACTTGCAAAGCATAATTTCGAAAAAAACTTAATTTCTGAAAATGTTAATTTTTAAAATTTTTGAAAAAACATTGTTTACGCTGAAACTTAAAAATTAAAGGGTGTGCGAAAAAAATACAAGAGTAAAAAAATTTACCTTTATTTTTGCTGAAGATTTTGCTTAATTTATTTATTCCTCTAAAATTAATATAAATCGAGATATCGCTATTTTAAATTATCATGTGAATGAGAGAACCACCCTCTTCAAGCCCTTTAAACCCTTCAAACTTAAAAATGAAGAGCTTAAAAAAATCAACTCAAGGTGATAATTTTAAGAAAATTTCAAACAAGAATTTTGGAGCTCGTCCAAAAATTTGAAAAAAAGTTTGTATTAACTTACCCTCTAAAATGCACAATTTTCGAGATACAGGGTGTTGAAATTATAAAAAAATTTCGTTTTTTACGAATATCTCCAGAACCGTTTATCGTACAGAAAACAGCTTTCGTAAACATTTACTACTCATAATAAGCTATGTTCTGTGCCTGAAAAATTTTTTTTCAAACTCATAATTGGTGAAGATTTTGAAGGGGAAGTGGGTGTTTTTCTCCCCAACTTCTACGCCACTGGAAATTGTACGGTTTTGAGACCCCCATTTGAACCGCCAATGTTTTCTACACAAAAAGTACTCTTGGTCATAAGCTCTAAAGTTGACCGTTTTCGAGAAAAATCTACTTTTATGTTGAAAAACATGGTCAATTTTTTTAAATAATTTTTTTTTACTAATTAAACTAAATTTATTTAATCGTTAGAACAAGTAACAAAACCAAACAACTTCATAGTTGCAAAATTTAAAAAAAACAAATCGTACACAGTTAAATTAAATGTTGGAAATGTCCTCCGTTAGCTTCAATGCACGCAGCAATTCTTCGACGCATTGACTGTCTAACAAGCAAGAAAATTTCCGGAGTATTCAGAATTATGTCGCAAGATGCAACAATGGGTACTCTTAATTGATCAACATTTTCAACTGGAGTAGCGTAGACTAGGGTTTTGAGATGGCCCCAAAAGAAAAAATCTAAACAATTAAGTTCGGGAGATCGCGGGGGCCAAGGGTGGGGACCTCCTCGACCAATCCAACGGTCTTGGTATTCGTCGTCCAAGTATTGGCGAGCAACCAAACTAAAGTGGGCCGGAGCTCTATCATGCATAAAGTACATGTTTTCTCTTACTTGAAGCGGTACATCTTCCAGCAGTTCCGGCAGTACTTCTTCTAGAAATTGTCGATAATCTGCACCGTTTAATCTGTTCGGTAAAAAATGTGGGCCTATCAAATGATCACCGACGATGCCAGCCCAAACATTCACAGAAAATTGTTGCTGATGATTGCCTTTTGCAATTTCATGTGGATTTTCTTCAGCCCATATGTGGTTATTGTGAAAATTGAAAATACCATCTCTCGAGAAAGATGCTTCATCGGTAAACATAACTTCGGCTCCAAACTGAGACATGACATTTTCCCATAGTCGTTGGTGAATGAGTTGAAACAAGTTATGATGTGGTACTTGGCGATCACGATGTCTTTCTTGATACAACCGCCTTGCTTCTGCCGAATTACCGTTCGCCATTCCGTAAAGGTAATGCATTTCGCACATTTCAGCGTTTGTGTAATTCATTTTTACTTTTGTAATACAAATTGACTTTTCGCAGGTACAAACTAATTGTTATTTTGACAGGAGGTAGCTTTTGTTTTAAAATTTAAAGCCTACTTGATAAAAAAAATTATAATACATTTAGTAAAATAAAAATTTTATTTAAAAAAATTGACCATGTTTTTCAACATAAAAGTAGATTTTTCTCGAAAACGGTCAACTTAAGAGCTTATGACCAAGAGTACTTTTTTTGTGTAGAAAACATTGGCGGTTCAAATGGGCGTCTCAAAACCGTACTTTTTCCAGTGGCGTAGAAGTTGGGGAGAAAAACACCCACTTCCCCTTCAAAATCTTCACCAATTATGACTGAAAATAATTTTTCTGGCACAGAACATAGCTTATTATGAGTAGTAAATGCTTACAAAAGCTGTTTTCTGTACAATAAACGGTTC